GAATATGGTGAGCTTAGCCTCACAATGAGTTAGCAATAATTTAGTTTCAAATTCGTCTTGGTGAGAATCAAACCTAAAACCTCTTACTTACAAGTGAAGAGGAATAACATTAGACTGTAGTACTAAGCGTAGAAAGAAAAAATAATAGAAGAATCAAGTTTTAAATATTCATAATAGCGTTAAGTCCATGTAGCATTCATCATTGATATATTCCTAATTAATAAAAATATATCATTAATCAAGCCTAAAAAATGATCATTGATATATGATTAAATAGTAAAGTCTTTTATTTTTTTTTTACTGAATACTTTTATTTTCGGTCAAGTTATGAAATTTTCGAATTCTTAACTATGATTGAGATTTCATAAAAGAGGGTCATTTATGGAACACGATAAACTATATTTAATTATATAGTCATTACACATGACTAAATTTGACACTTTCTTACACAACCTGTTAATACGACATAAATATAACTAGTTTCAAAGCAACACGATAACCAATCGAGCTGTTATAGGATCACCTATTAAGAGCACATTAACGGGCTTATGCGCGTATAACCCGTGAGTAACCTATTTCAATCCGTTAAGAAAAAAATTATTTTGATAATTTTGAAGTTAAACTACTAAAAAAAATTACAATAAATACAGTAGCTATAGTATATATATTCTTTATTAAATATGTATTATTGTATTTTATAATATAGTTAAAAAAATTTTAAGTTTTGTTTATTTATTTATTTCTATTATTAGAGTTTCTTATTATCATTACTGAGATAAAATTTAATTGACATGTTGTTTAAAATTCAAATCAACTAGTATAATAATTGTATAGACAAAATGATAGATTTTCAATTTCAGAGTTAATGATAAAGTTTTATGCTCTTTGTCATACAGTCATAATCATAAATGTTTTATCCTTTTAAAAGTAAGATAAAACATAATAAAACACGTTTAAAAATAAAAATATAAAGTAATTTAAAAATACTAAACAGATTAAAAATTATAATAATTAATTTACAAGTGCGAAAAAAATGTGAAAAAATATGCAAATGCTTGTGATCGCGTCCTCTAAGTTTTGAGATGGGTACATAATCATTTAAAATTTTAAAGCGCTACAAAATCTCTTGAATAGTATTTATAAGGGAGTCCAATATTAAAAAAAAAAATCATAATAATTAATGTACAAGTGTGAAAAATGTAAAAGAATATATAAACAGTGGCGATTGCATCCTCCACGCGTGGACGTTGGTTCCATCATTGTTTAAATTTTTAAGGCTAAATAGCCAAAATAGTCCTTGAGATTTACATAACACATCACTTTGGTCCCTAAGATTGAAAATCAATAAAAATGGTCCCTGAAATTGTCCACCATCCATCATTCTGGTCATTCCGTTAAAAACTCTTTGGGCTATATAGTGGCAAATTTCGAAGTTGAGCCCCTCGAGCAAGTTGTAAAGCTTATCATTACAAGTTTTTATATATATTTTTATATTTTTCACACTTCTATATTAATATTTATTTGATACTTGAGATCCAAATGTGTTTTTATGTTTTGGAGTAATATTTATGTGACAATGTGTATACTAATTTAGTATTGTGTTTTTCATTTGATTATTTATTGGTTAAAATATATTTTCTTTAACAAGTAAAGGGTTGGATCATACTACCTATTAATAATAACAGGTCGAGTAATATTACGTATTAATAATAACGGGTTGAATTCAAGTCGGGTCATATTATCCGTTCATTTTAACAGGTGTTACACGACACAACCCATTAAGATGTCAGGTATGACACAAAAACGATACAAACACGAAAAACACGACTCGAATGCCTGGTCTACACATCACCATCAATATAATGGATAATTAAATCGAGATGAGGAATTATAACATGGAACAATGGAAGACTCTCATAAAAGGATAATTAATTAATGGGCGGCCCTTGACTTAGCATGCAAGGCCTGGCAATTCCTGACACGACCCGATAACCCGACACGACACAACACGAAATTAACAGGTGTTCGGGTCGACACGATAACGAATCGGGTCGTTATCGGGTAACCCGATAAGCACCTGTTAAGATAACGGGTTGATTCGGGTATACACGTGGGTAACACAATACACGATAAGCAGAATATTATTTTTATAATTTTATAACCCTAAAAAAAATGCTGTAATAATTATATACATTAATTTAACAATTTTATACCCCTAAAAACTATAATAAATATATATATATATATTAAATTAACTATAAAGTCTATAATAATTATAATAATTATATATACTATAATAATTATACCCCCAAAATATTAACTATCTATAATAATTATATAATTATATATATATATATATATATAATTTTGAATTAAATTTTATAAAAACTATAATAATTATTAATTAATATGCATGATGCATCCATTGATTTGATTCCATTCCATTCCTGCTGCCCTTTTTGAAGAAAAATAGAGGGAAAATGAAAATGATAGAAAAAGTTGAAAATGAAACAAAAAAGTGAGGGAATTAGGGAAAAGTGAAAATTATAAGAAAAGTTGAAAATGAAACAAAAAAGAGAGGGAAAAATGAAAATTAATAGAAGTGGTGAGAAATTTATTTATTTTTTTTTTTTAAGTTATTAACTTTTTATCACACATATGACATATCTCACTATTTTTATAATGATACATGTGATATACTACTCCGTGTACCAGTCAATTATACGTACAAAATAAATAGATTTAAATCTACTTAATAAATAAATATATATATATATGTATATATATATATACACCATTGGAACTTGATGGGATACGAATTCTTCGAAACTAATTTGAACGATCCCAACAGTCAAACTTGTTTGTATATGCTTTGAGATCACATCAGCAAAAAATCGCAAAAAACAAACATTCAGAGATCAAGTAACGTGACAAAACTTTTCGATGCTTATAAACGAAAAATCACGATTTAACGGTTATTTTAACTTCGATTTTGATGATTTTTTATAGCTACACTCCTTGACCCTATATGAATACAATGAATGAATTTGATCTTCAATTTAAAATATTTACACAAGTGGATACTACAAAATCTTATATTATACTTGATAAAAGTATAAATAAACTCTAAGTGTTAGTTAATCTATTGTTTTTATGGGATACGAATTCTCTTAAACTAATTTCAACGATCCCAACCATCAAACTTGTTTGTATATGCTTTGAGATCACATCAGCAAAAAATCACAAAAAACAAACATTCAGAGATCAAGTAACAGGACAAACCTTTTCGATGGTTATAAACGAAAAATCACGATCTAACGGTTATTTTAACTCCGATTTTGATGATTTTTTACAGGTACACTCCTTGACCTTATATGAATACAATGAATGAATTCGATCTTCAATTTAAAATATTTACACAAATGGATACCACAAAATCTTATGTTATACTTAATGAAAGTATAAATAAACTCTTAAGTGTTAGTCAATCTATCGTTTTGTTGGGATACGAATTCTCCAAAACTAATTTCAACGATCCAAACCGTCAAACTTGTTTGTATATGCTTGGAGATCACATTAACAAAAAAATCACAAAAAACAAACATTTAGAGATCAAGTAACGGGACAAAACTTTTCGACGGTTATAAACAAAAAATTACGATTTAACGGTTATTTTAACTTCGATTTTGATGATTTTTTACAGGTACATTCCTTGACCCTATATGAATACAATGAATGAATTCGATCTTCAATTGAAAATATTTGCACAAGTGGATACCACAAAATCTATTGTTCTACTTAATGAAAGTATAAATAAACTCTAAGTGTTAGTCAATCTATTGTTTTGTTGGGATACGAATTCTCCAAAACTAATTTCAACGATCCAAACCGTCAAACTTGTTTGTATATGCTTGGAGATCACATCAACAAAAAATCACAAAAAACAAACATTCAGAGATCAAGTAACGGGACAAAGCTTTTCGACGGTTATAAACAAAAAATCACGATTTAACGGTTATTTTAACTCCGATTTTGATGATTCTTTACAGGTACATTCCTTGACCCTATATGAATACAATGAATGAATTCGATCTTCAATTTAAAATATTTACACAAGTGGATACCACAAAATCTTATGTTATACTTAATGAAAGTATAAAATCTTATGTTATACAATGAATGAATTCGATCTTCAATTTAAAATGTTTGGTTTTTCTATACTTAGTTTATGCGGAAGAGAGTTCTGACGTGGAAAACCTTACTGAAAACATCTTCAACATAACTCTTCAAGGCAATAGATGAAGCCAAAGTTTCAATACAATTTCATGATGATCGATGTAAATTGAAGATTTTGTAGATAAAGGTGTAAACTTTTGAGAAAGACTTACAATCTTGAAAACACTTTTGAGAAAGACTTACAATCTTGAAAACAAAAACTCTTTCATTTTGCATATCCTTGCACATTTAATATTTGTAATAGATTAGTAGTGTATGTATTATTTTTTTATTAGGCTCTTATTTTCGAATGTAGATATAGTACTTAAACGATAAATGTTTTAATGTTTTGAAGTAATATTTATGTGGTAATGTGTGATATGTGCAAATTTAAAAAAAAAAATATTTTTTTCTTAACGGGTCATAACGGGTCGGGTCACTTTACCCGTTGGGTAAAGTAACCCGACCTGTTAAGGACCCGTTAAGATAACGGATGTGACACGACACGACCCGTTAAGATAACAGGTGTTACACGAAAACGACACGAACACGACAGACACGACCCGTTTGCCAGGCCTATGATGCAATACTCAGTTGTAAGTCAAATACCTACTTGTACCAAATAAAAAATAAAAATGAAAAATAAAAAAAAAAACACCTAAAATGCGTTTTTTTTCTTCTTCTGGACAAACAATATTATCTAAGTGAGTAAACTAAGTCTCACAATGAACCTGCAATAATATGATTCGAATTCGTTTTCGAACCTATAAAATGCATCTTAGACATGACTTTATATATTAGTAGTTATATGGGAACGAAGGAGACTTGTATATCGATCTGATACAATATGGTTCACAAGGCCAGCGTTGTTTACATGATTCTCATAATTATATTGCTATTGTTTTCATCCGAAATAGTCTTTGCCAATGCTTCTGAAAATCCAAAACACTGTATGTAATTTTGGTGGCTAATGTATACATTAAATTTCTCTCTCTCTCTCTCTCTCTCCTCCCCCTCATGTGTTGTGTGTGTGTGTATATATGTCCGGCAACTAATGATGAGGTTCCTGATCTTGTCATTGCAGATTATACAGACAAGACGATGAGTAGGTCGCGTCTGCTAAGGGATTTTATGATGATGCGTCGTCGTGTTCAAAAGGAGATTCTTCTGGGAAAGCAAATAGGGGTACCAAGACCCGGTAGGTCGCCTGGTCGTGAGCCAAAGCCAATAACTAGGTAGTAATTTGGTTTCTTTTTATGTTGGAATAATTTATAAATATACCTTTTGTATTTCGAAGTTTTTAGCAAGATGTGATCTTTTAGATTATAGTCGTTTGCAATTTGTAGTCTTCTTCTTTATTTTATGTCTATGAATAAGAATCATAGAATGGATTCGACCATTTTAAATCAATCTGCTCTTGTTCGATATCAGTTTGTTTATCATTTCTTTTTTTTTTCTTTCAAAGTTTACAATTAAATCATTATTCAATAAAAAAAACATTTTACTAGACGAAAAATAAAGAAGATGAACTAGAGAAGGTCATCAGTCGCGTCTGCAAATGGAAATTATTCAGGCAAAAAAAGTAGCCATACCAATTCCAAATAGGACATCTGGATATGGAGAAAATGATAAACACAATAACTAGGTAGTAATTGGTATATTTTTGTGTTAGGATAATTTATAATAACCTTTTGTAATTTAGAAAGTTCTAGCAAGATGTAATCTTTTGTATTAACGTCGTCTGCAATTTGTAGTCCTCTTCTTTATTTTGTGTCTATGAACAAGAACCATAGTTTGTAATTAAATTTTATTATTTCTCATCATTTGATTAGTTTACATGTTATCAGAACAGGATCAACCTTGGAATTCAATATGCTCTTGTTCGGTATCAGTTAGCTTATCGTTTTTTTTTTTTCTCTTTAAGTTTACAATTGTATCATTATTACGTTACATCATAACAATATTAGCTCTCATTAAAAAGAAAGAAATAACTCTTTTAATATTTAGCACTTCGATTATTGACAAAGAAGAGCGTGAAGAATCACTTGATTTACTAATACAAGAAATTATAACATATATGGATTGCTCTTATGGTCTTCATCTTCAACCCATTACATCCTATATTTAAATGCTCTTATCTCCCCTTACTATAGATCCATGTTGAATAATGTTTGTAAATCAGAATACATGTTGAGATAAAATAAAATAGGCTTATGAAAATGCAGATGGATTGAAGAACAAAAACCCAACAAAGAAATAGCCCAGTTAAAACCCTTAGACCCGCAGGCGTTTCAGTCTTGCGATGTAACAACAATTAAATCTATTAAATAAGAAGACGAGAACATACAATATTTCTTTTACGTGGTAAAACCCCACATACAAAAAGAAAAATTCATGGGCACACTACTGGTTAAAGAATTCACTAATGTCAAACAAAGTACAAAACTCATACAAGAAATAATTTTTTTTTATTTTTTGCAATGCTAGCGTTAGTGAGTTAAATAGTTAGTTGTTAGGGTAGGAGAGTTGTTAGGGTAGGAGAGTCAGTGGAGATCGAACTCGCACTATGATGCATATGCATGATTGCTTCAACCATTGCGGTAAAACGTCATTTGCTAAACACCTACTAGAAGATTATCTTGCCCTCTTGTCTTCGTACTTGCTTCTCTTCATCTCCTTTTGATTGCACACCTCCGATCGTGAATGTAGTCACCTCCAGTGGCGAAGCTACGTGAGGGCGAGGAGTGGCGGCCACCCCTCCTTCACCGGAAAACATGCCTTGGAGCATTGGTTCAGCCATTCCGCTCTCATCGGAATTCATGGCACCTGTAAAAATTGGGGATTGATTCGACAGAAGACGGAGGCTTCAGCGAAGGAGAGGGTTCAACGAAGAAGAGAGGTTTGTAGAACTATTCGGGTTCGAATTGATGGAAAGGTTGGAGGAAAGGGTGGGTGGGTGTTTGACGGAGGAGAAAGGGACTAGAGGGTGAGATTTGCAGCGATGGCAAGAAGGTAGGAAGATGAGAGGTTATGTTTGGTCACAGGTTCAATGGGAAACTTAGTGTTTGGTTACAAACGTTGAGAGAAAGTATAGATGACATGTGTTTCAAGATTATTGGACCACATAAGAAGTGAGTAAAATTTGGGTACTCCCTTGTGAGTACCTGTCCTTTGTTTACCCATTTCTCCCATTTTTTTCTCTTTTGACCCCACCTTTTTTTTTGGTGGTTTATTAACCCATTTCTCGCCTTTTTTTTATTTTTTATTCTTGAATGTATTTTTATTTTCTCTTTTAAGAGTCCCACCATATTTATCTTAAACTCTCACATTATTTATAAATATTATATCACTTTTTAAAAACAATGTAAATATTGTTTAATGCTTATTTTACGATAATTTAAATCCATCTAGGCTCTTGCCTAGATCTAGCCTAGGCACATGGCTGCTAGGTCTCAGTCTGCTATTTGACTAGCACCTAACATTTTTTAGAATCTAATCCTAGCCAATTTAAGCTTCTTACATTGGCTTTGATATTATTGCTTACAAGTTACAACCGCTTTGGTGGGGAGATGATGTGATATAAAATAACACACAAATTAAACCCTATAATTGTAGTATGTGTAAGTAGGGATTGTTCTAGGTCGGGGATTAGAAGGGATGCTAATGAACACAATTTAGACTTAAAAACTGAAAACTAAAACAATGTAAATATTGTTTAATGCTTATTTTACGATAATTTAAATCCATCTAGGCTCTTGCCTAGATCTCGCCTAGGCACCTGGCTGCTAGGTCTCAGTCTGCTATTTGACTAGCACCTAACATTTTTTAGAGTCTAATCCTAGCGAATTTAAGCTTCTTACATTGGCTTTGATATTATTGCTTACAACCGCTTTGGTGGGGAGATGATGTGATATAAAATAACACACAAATTAAACCCTATAATTGTAGTATGTGTAAGTAGGGATCGTTCTAGGCCGGGGATTAGAAGAGATGCTAATCAACACAATTTAGACTTAAAAACTGAAAACTATACTCAAACAACTCAAAACAAGCTAAACTGACTCAAAACACACAAACTAAGTTAAATTGACTCAAAACAGGTACTAGAAAGTGATTTGGACGAAAATTAAACTAAAAAGACTCAAAATACTAAATGGGGTTGTTTTGATGAATTTAAACTAAACTAACACAAATAAGAACTAAGGGGGTATTTGGACGAATTTTAAACTTAAAACAAACAAACTTGCAAAAACAAAGTAAAAGGGTACGAATTTGGGTGAATGAATGGGTGAAAGGCTAGCTAGAGGGTCCTTCTCCACACATGACACATATGCAACACAAAATTGATTTCCAGTTATTATTCTTTTAAACCATGAATGACAATTCCCCAAATTAATCGTGAGAAGCACAAATTAACTTTCAGATTTTCCTAAATTCATTAAATTGGACTCAATGACGCAATCAAATTATTCTTATCAAGTTCCGTATATGAACTGCATGATAGAGATACATATCAAAGATCATTAAGTTCTATGAAAATCATATGCATTGACAAGGCATTCGTAACTATGAACTGCATGATACTCCTGCCATGAATTTACTTAATACGATTGTGACTAGCAACCTCCACGACTTATAAATATAAGTTCATAACGATTAGGTGAATTTCCCTTATATTTTAGCATCAAATTCATGCATGCAAACTAAGTAGGCGTCCTTAAGCAACATACAAGAATAAGTTATCAATCAAATAGATAAGTAAATCGCATTCATGTTTTACGAAACAATAATTGGATGAAATCAATTCATATCACATATATGTTCATGGCTTTGAATTCGCCTCTAACTAAAAAGAATTTAGTTCCTCATGTTCATCATAATTGAAAACCAAATTAAAACAAACATTGGACTAAAACTAAGGATAGAAAGAACCCAGAAACGCTCCAACAATCCAAAGGTCTTGAATGGCAGCAGACACGACACTCTTCCTCTTCTTCATGCCTTGCACGACACAAGTCTCTAAAAACTCTCAGAAACCTGCGGCACCTTTGTATTGTTCTGAATTTCTCTCATGTGTGTCGTATGAATTATGCGGCATAAATATGTATATATAGGCCTAGGGTTATGCATAATTTCTGAAGGGAAAAGGATTGCACAATCCTAGGGGGAAAAGGTTAGGGTTACACAGCAGAGAATGGGCCATCTAGAAGGAATAGGTGCGGCATAGAAATAGGACCAAATAAAGCCTTCTAGAAAGGGTATTATGGTAGGTTTCTAGAAGGACAAGGGATAAGGGGTGCGGCACCAATGTAGGAGAAGGATAGGGCTTCTAGAACCATATATTTAGGTGATTTAATGTGAAGAGGAGTCCCCTTTGCAGATGGAATTAAGGTAGCAAAGGATTAGGATATGATAAGATAAGATTGGACAAGGTTTTGGATAACGTTCCTTCTTTTCAGCTGATTCCTTATCTTCCAAGCTTCCAAATTTGTTTCTTCAGATATTAAGCACATTCCTAGCCTCTCTTGAACTTCAAATTCGTCCATCCACCTTGCTCCATATGCAAGTTATCCATTCCAGCCCAAAATTGTTCTAAAATGCACCAAAATGCACTTTCTTGCCTCTTTTGCCATTTAAACCTACAAACACACGAAAATAACTTAAATCACTATAATAAATAGAAACTAACTATGCAAATGCAAGAAAACAAGCTAACCAAGTCGCATAAATATGCTCCTATCAAATTCCCCCACACTTAGCTTTTGCTAGTCCCCGAGCAAAACAAAGAAAACAACAATCTAAACCTTCCAACAATTGCCTCAGGGATTTCCAATGCAACACGACATGTTAAAAACCATTACTCCCACAGATTTTAGCTATCCCTACCCTCGGGCATATACTTAATCGCAGTTACCACTCACTAGCTCGCATGTAATCAATTAAAACAACATTTTGAATGTAGTAGCATGCCTTAGAGAATCCCTCAATTCCTCACCGGATATACTCTCTATTTTCACACAAATTTTCTGACCACACTCCCTACACTAGGTATATGTGAGAAGATTGATGTAAACATGTAGACTAGCACTCACAAATGTTATAACAAAGAAGGCACTTTCTAGAATTATTAATATAAACATGTATACGATCTCATGAACGGAATGCCACTACTTAGACGTGAGAACCAGGGATACCATATGCTCGTACCAATTTCAAACTCCACATATTGAAAAACATAACAATCAAGATAGAAGTCTAAGGGTTGTAACAGGGCCAAGGTATTGGCAAACAAAGAAAGGTAAAGATAAACAAAAGTTCTTAAAGTGATAGTAAGCAAAGTAATGAAATCGACACAAAGAATTCACTTTTGAATGCAGAAATAAACTTTAAACACCCATGGGAGATTCACACAACACTTAGGGTCGAATTCAAACTTTTGGACCATTTCTTCAACAACCAATACTTATGAGTTCATTCTCACTTATTTCTCAACTCTTTTTCTTTCTTTTCTCAAGTTTTTCTTCTTCTTTCTTTCTTTTTCACGTTTTTTTTCTTCTTTCGTGCCCTTTCTCTTTGGCACACAAAACGTACAACCTCATAGATTTCCAACGAAAAGCCTTCCCCCACACTTGTTTTTCTGCATAATGTTGATCAAAAGGAATTCCCTCTAAATCATGCTCCACTATTCTTTAAGAACAAGGGTATCGATGGTCCTATTCTAGGCTAGGTAAGGATAATGTGGTTAACAAAGAAAATATGCTAACTAAGGCTCAACAAGGTTAAACCTACAATACATATGCAAAGGGTAAGGCTTTTTGGCTCTGGTTTAACTAAACAACTTCATCTTGTTATTTGTTATGCACTCAATTTTATGCTTTGAATGAAACGGACATGAGTTTTAGTATTTGGATCTATAGTGATGAAACGCATTCTAAGTAGCAGCCAAGCAAAAAAAAATAATGAGATCATGCAACGACTTTAGAAAACAAGAATTCACTGATTAATAACTCTCCAAACAAAGTTTAGGCTCAAGTCTCTCAGGGTTGTAGCGTTAGTTTGAGTTCTTTCCTTAAGCATGTTTCAAAAACTGATTTTTTTTTTTGTTTTTTTGTTTTTTGTTTTTGTGATTACATGTGAATTCGTAAACGATAACTACAACTAAGCATAAACCAAAGAGCATATCAAATTTCCACCCATGTTTGTAACTTTCTTTAACAATCATGCAATTAAAAATCAAATCCTCATTATTGTGTTGGAAGGTATCCTAAGACACAACACGCAAAAACAAAAACGACTCTAAAAACAACTCTTTTTGGGTTTTTCAAACACTCTTTTTCGATTTTTTTTCAAATTCTCGGATTTTCTATTATAGGACACATTAAAACACTTCAAAACACAATAAAAACACTTAAAAACATCGAGTAACAACTTTAGAAGTGATAGGTGATAAAATCCCATGAAAATCAATGCAAAATCGTTTGTTTACCCCCCCCCCCCCCAACACACACTTAAACCAAACATTATCCTCAATGTTTCAAACATAGACTCACAAACAAACAATCAAATAACACAACTAACAAACACAACAATCATGGCAAAGTAGAAGTAATAAAGAGTAGGGTTTAGGAACGCAAATCTGGTTATGGAACCGGAGATTCCTAGGTCTCTTTATTTAAACACATGGGTTGCCTCCCAAAAAGCGCTTGCTTTAACGTCTTCTAGCCGGACGATACCTCCATTCAAGCTCCATTAGTGCCCACGGCATGGAGGGGTATATCCTCCAAGAAATGCTCCTCAAAATACTTATAATAAGGCTCAATGAATGGAAGGGGATAGTGAACCTTTCTGATTGTGGTGTTTAGCTTCCTAAAGTCAATGTGAACTCTCCCACCACCTTGGATTCGATTGGGTACCTACACCAAAGAAGGTAACAACCTAATAGTTGAGATGAGAATTGGAATTGGGATTAATGGCTCACCAATATATTGTGACGAAGGCTCAAAAGTAGCAGCACTATCAACAATTTCACTAGGGATGCTTTCGGCCAGATTGGGTGTTTTGAGGGTAGTGGCGTGTTCCTTGTGCTCTACTCCAATTCCCTCTTCGATGATGGTTCGAAATACATCCTTCTTGATAGATGCTGAATGATCCTGCCCTATATCTTTATTCACATCAATG